GTAATACCATAGTAAGATTATATCCCAAAATTATAAACAAAAAGTTCATATTTGAAATAGAAAATCTTATTAATTTGGGCAGAATATGTTTTTTTTAAAAATAAAAATCAAAAAAATAATAAGGGAGTTTGTGCGGTTGGTGTTTATTGAGTGAATAATGATATGATATGTGAAATAATAATAGTATAATATACACACTAACAGTGTAAAGATTTATATACAATCAGTGCATCATTCATTTGTATTACTTTTATTTAAGAGTTAATGATGATTGAAAATGAATGGTAAATGATATAATGATAATATAAAAAACTCTTACACTATCTGTTCATATATTTGTTTCATGAAAATAAATAACAATAATAATAATAATTATAATAAGAATGATAATGATAATAATAATAGTATTAATAATAATAATAAGAATGATAATGATAATAATAATAGTATTAATAATAATAGTTGTAGTAATAGTAATAATGCTCATATATTTAGGACTTGAAAATATGTAGAGGGTTTTAATATATTTCAAAATTTTGGTTTCAGTCAATCTAATAAAAGGACAAAATTTAGATGTATTACCTTAAGTATTGGTGGTACACATAGCCTATTACAACATATATGGACTGTTTTCCTACTTTACCATAAAATATTACTTTCATTCTTTAACACTATTAAGGAATTCCTCTTTCCAACTCTCTAATCCAAGTTCATGGCAACATTTTGAATATCCATTCACCTCTTTCCATCTTTATATTCCCCTTTTCCTGATTTTTCTTTCATAATGCATTAATTAGGTTTTCTCAATTTAATTAGATTTTTGAGTCATATTGTATCAGTTAAGGATATGTTGCTATAACAATTTAGTCTTTCTTCTTTCATGTCTCTATTAAACAATTGATATAATAACAAAAAATGGAATTGTATGCGGCAATAAATATGAAAACAAAGAAAATGTAGGAGAAAATGTTAATTGCAAGACAAAAAATAAAAATTAGAAATATGGTATTGATGATGTTAGTTTTTTATGAATGTGTATGAGTAAGTAATTTTTTATGATAGAAGTTAAAATGTTGAAATATAAAGAGAAGTGAGATTGAGATTTAAGAGTGAGAATGAGAGATAGATGAAACAATAAATAAGTTATTTGAGTTAAAGTTAATAAAATGGTGAGGTAGGAAAACAATCCATATATCTTGTTGTAATGCCATAGTATGATTATTTTCCCCGAAATTATGAACAAAAAGTTCATATTTGAAATAGAAAATCTTATTAATTTGGGGAGAATATGTTTTTTTAAAATAAAAATCAAAACAATAATAAGGGAGTTTGTGCGGTTGGGGTTTATTGAGTGATGAATGATATGATAAGTGAAATAATAATAGTATAATATATATGCTAAAGATGTAAAGATTTATATACAATCAGTGCATCATTCATTTGTATTACTTTTATTTAAGAGTTATTGATGATTGAAAATGAATGGTAAATGATACAATGACAGTATAAAAAACTCTTACACAATCTATTCATATATTTTTTATCATAATAATAATAATGATATATTTAGGACACAATCTGTTCATGTCTCCTTTAAAAATTTGATAAAATAGCAAGAAAAAGAATCGTCTGGTGCAATAAAGATGAAAACAAAGAAAACGTAGGAGAAAATGTTAATTGCAAGATAAAAAATAAAAATGAGAAATATGCTATTGATGGTGCTAGTTTTTTATGAATGTGTATGAGTAAGTAAATATTTATGATAGAATTTAAAATGTTGAAATATAAAGAGTAGTGGGATTGAGATTTAAGAGTGAGAATGAGAGATAGATGAAACAATAAATAAGTTAATTGAGTTAAATTTAATAAAATTGTGAGGTAGGAAAACAGTCCATATATCATATTGTAAATAATTACATGTACTACTATCACTTAAGGTATTGCAATTAAGTTTTGCTCGTAAACAACTATGTTTTGTCTGTAATCAAAATAAGTGTATAGGTTGCAAAAGTAGAGTAGATATGTTCAAAGTCTAATTTACAAGGAATAGAATTAATTGCACACATTAAACTTAAGAAATTGATGATAATGATTGGAGCAAGGTGATTTAATTCAAATTTAGATTGGAGTAGCTTGTTAATAACACCATTCTTTCCTTTTTTTGAAATTTGATTTTCCTAATATATCCTTATCATCTCATATGCGTCTACGTACACCTCCTGAACAAAAAAGATTAATGTTCAGTAGTACCATAGTAAAATTATTTTCCCCAAAATTATAAACAAGTTATTTTATGTGCCTGGGGTGCTTTTAGAAAATAAAGAAAATGTCCAACTACTAATTCTAAATAATGTTCAAACCTGTGAGATGATCATCAAGTTTTGGTTTTACTTTCTCCATTTCAAGTTTGCTCAGGAAACATTGATTCACATTTTGGTTATGATTAATAAGGGTTGCTATCCCAATACAATAGAGAATAAGCAAAACATAGAGGTAGACTAGCTACAAAGGTTAATACACGACTAAGGGTCAATGCATCAATTAGTAAAAATCTGTATCTCACATGAATTGAACCAAGACCAAAATCTATCCTTGCTTCTCTTTGTAAATTGGGTTGTTGACGGGGTCAAGGAAGAGAAAATAATTTGAATTGGGTTAAGGAACATAATTAGGTGAGTGGTAAAGAGTGGCAGTATTGTAATTTTAAAGTTTATAAATCACACTCATTGTTAGCACCATTAATTGTGAATTGTGCAATAACTTTTCAAAATATCATTCTCATCATCAAGACCATATTCATTAATTATGCCACATTCATTAGTGAGACTAGGGGTGGCAATACGGGCCTGTTAAGTTCGTCTTTAGCCCACAAAAGTTGGGCTGGTCCGGCCCGACCCATATAGTTAAAATGACTTAAAATGTCAGCCCAACCCATATTTGGAAGGGCTGGCAGGCCGACGGACTGACTCATTTTTTTCTTTTAAAAAAACACACAATTATAATCAACTCAATCACAATTTCAAAAATAAATAATCATCACCTATCTTAAATGTCTTTTAAAATAAAAAATCACAAACCAAAAAAGTCAACATTGTCTTAAACTTTTAAACTCTTGGTTCACAATAAAGCTTCAAACTCCTAAGTTTTAAACATTAGATGCTCGGTTGGAAGCCTCCACTTTTCTATGCAAAAAATATTCATTTGAGAAGGCTTGTATATGAGTACTAACTAATTTAAAGAGTAATTTACACTTATAAGTAAATGTCTTTTATATGACATAAATGTCTTGTATATGATATAAATTACTCATAAATTATAATATTACATAATAGTATAACCAATTTAATATTAATATTATTAACCAATTTAGTATAACGTGTGGAACCTATGCAAAAGTTTATTAATAATATAAAGAGTAAATTAGATTGATATTCCCTCTGTGACCCGTTTAAAAAACGGGCTTCAAAACTGGGTTGAATATGAGCTTTTGGGTAAAATCCCTAGCCTAGCCCGCTAAAAATATCAATCTAAACGGGCTGGTCCGTCGGGCCACGTCCATATTACCATCCCAAAGTGAGACCATTTATTTTCTGATAATGAGGGGTAGAGAACCAAACAAAACTATACTAGTACATTTCTAGGTAAATACATACCAGTTCAATTAAATCAAATCAAATCTCTACATTTATTTGGAGATATGATGAAGATCATCTATCTCATGACTCTGTCCCTGCTCCTGTTGTTGAAAATATCTTTAATATAGATTTTATAATGGTGGAAGACTTTATATACATAATGATACATAATACTAAAAATGATGAACAATACTATCATCATATGTAGTCAAAATCTTTCATGTCAAATCATCAAGAAGAAATATAAAACTAGAACTTGAGCGGAAATATACCTTAATTTATTCATATAGAATATAGAGAATAAACTTTATATCATCATTCCTCGTGTATCCATTTCTCCATGTCTTTTGTCTTGTATCCAAATGCATGTTCATAGTAGAACATGTAGGTTTGTCGATCTTCCAATTGTAGACCACCATTAGCCTTAGTTTCTCCTCTAATGAGATGAAGAGAATAGAGATGATTTTGTTGTGTCTAAAATTGGGGACCATAACCCCTATTTATAAGAAGTGCATACCCTTCCATGAAGGGAGATGCTATTTCATTTTCTTATTTCCAATTTTGCCCATCATAAAATAGAAATAAGTCTTTAGGTATGTATAGAATAATTTTCATGACAATTATGTTTATAGTCATATATTTTATTTGAATTAAATCACTTTAATTTGACTACTTATAATAATGACCATAAATACAATTAAACATTACATGTATGACCCAAAATTTCTTACACCTGTATCATCCAATCAGGTGTTGACACATGAAATAAATATATGTAATTTTATATTCATAATTTTTGTTAAATAAATTTTCTCTCATCTCACCATATTCCTCTTTATTTCTCTCCTAAATAATACAAAACCTAATATAAAAGTCCATTTAAGCAATTCACTTATCCTAGAACAATTCACTCTACAATTTATATTCCTCTTTCTCTCTCTCCTAAACAAAACATCCAATTAGTTGGGCTACAGAGTCGTGTTCACTTCTCATTTGTCATAGCGACAGGAAACAATGATCTTTTAAATTAAAAGTTCATTTATGCAATTCTGCTATAGTAATTTAAAAGTTTAATCGTAAAGTTTGATTCAATTATTCTAACCTAATTTGGAGACCCCTTTATGCGAATTTTGATTATTATGCACAAAGAGCTTGTGCAAATTATGATTAGGTATTAATTTCTTCTTGCACAATTCTAATCCAATGAAATATTTGTCAAATCAATTATTTAAATTTTAAGAGAAGTTACTCTTCTGAGCGGTTCAGGAAAGAGAGAAAGAGGAATGTGGTGAGATGAGAGAAAATTTATTTAATAAAAATAATTGTGAGCACTCAATTTTGTCCGGCCCATAAAATATTCCAAAAATAATAATAAAATCTGTAAATTCAAATTACGATTAATTAAATCTGAAGGCAATGTTATAAACAAATAGTATGTGACATTAAAAAGGGGGAAATACATTTGGTCGAAAAAGGAAACTAAACCCCACCCCTAATTTTCTTCAAGCGCCTTAAATGAGAAGACCTCTCAAGTGATATATCCATCATATCTTGTAGTTTAAGGCAAATCAACACTCAATCCCTGAAAATAAAAAGAAATCAAATCATGAGAAGGAATCAAAAGGGAAAATAAATCAAATCCCAGGATTCCAGAAAAATAACACTAAGTAAAGGCAGTAAATCATCACTAATCAATCAAGATAATCCCAAAAGATATGGCACCAAATATATGTAGATTAAGGACCAAACTTAATTAGGCAACAATAATTACTACCATTAAAGTGATGATCGAAAATTACGAGCAGAACATCAAGAGGTGGTCTTAATAAGGCAACTACATATTCAAAGGGATTACTAAGGCAATAGAACATTAAAACCATGATTGGCAAAGTAAAACCAAGATTGACAATCAACATAAAAAATGAAATAGTCTGAAACACAATAAATTAGGGATTCAAATCAGAAATTATGGAGATTCCTCTCATGAACCTCAACCCTTATAAAAAGACAGCCATACATGCACCTAAAGGGGGATACCAAGACATCATAGAAACACAAAAACACATAGATACGCATACACTGACATTTTTGTTACATACTAGCATAATTCAATCACTAAATACTAGAGGACCAGAGAACCTTGATCACACACCCAGAGAGCATCCATTATAAATCATACGGATTCCAGAGAACAATACACAATTAGAACATAAGGGTCAGTAAGGGATTGGAAAGGATTCAAGAGTTCATAATCAAGGAAAAAGGACGAAAGCATAATCCCAGGTAAGTGATTCATCCAATTTATCTGAGTGTTTATAAAAAACTTTACATTGGCTTTCAATTGCATATGAGATTCTAACAAAAATTCATACCATCATTATATTGGAATGCATATATGTATACTGGATTAAGCATGAGAGCAGTAATGCATCAAAAAACGGTATATATGTTACATAAACCTGCTACAAGATGATTGAATCGGTTCTTGTTGTAAAATTCATAGTTATCAATAATATCCAGTGTTAGAATTCTGTCCTTAGTTATATTTTGATTCGAAAACAATAAAGGGAAGCAAGAAACACAAACCAGGTAACGTGCACGCGCCGAAATAAACAGCTATCATAAAAAACAAAGTAATGCAACCATGAGTATAGTTTACCACCGTATAAATCATGTTTCGGGTCTTAGATCGAAACAATCGCAAAATCATGCACAAAAAGAGCTCAAGAAAGAGATAAAATTGGTTGGGGATCATACATATTTGACACGGTTCGAAAAAGGAGCTCGGAGGAATAGGAAATAGGTCTAGGGATTCTAAATCCCATGGCTCGAAACAGAAGCATGCAATGGAGGAGGACCGGAGAAGAAGACCGGAGAAGAAGACCGGAGAAGAAGACCGGAGAAGAAGACCGAAGTAAACCCCCACCGCGAAGAACCCATCTTCGTCTTCTCACCTGTGATTTTCGCCATCCTTTCTCACTTCCTTTTTCCTTCTTCTCACTTCCATTTTTCTTCTTCTCCTGCCATCTCCCAAAACCCCTCAAGCCAAAAGTGAACCCAAAGAAACCAACCCCCGTCCCGCTGACCTAATTTCTTTCATAAGGCCCATGTGTTTGTTTTTTTTTTCTTCTTTTTATTTATTTGGTTAGATAACATATTTCTATCTTATAACCAATGATAATAATACTTTAGAGTAACATGTTGTTTTTAATTGATAAATGTTATACCTTTTATGTTTGTTCACCAAGCCTTTTTATTTTTATAGTTGACAAACGATTATCTCATGATTTAAGTTAATGATTTTAACCCCCCTGTATTTTTGCGATGAATTAGAATTTTGAAAACTATATTTATTATACTAATAGAAATCCTAATGTGTTCTTAAAAATAATAATAATTTTAAATGAATTTTTTAAATAGAATTTTTATAGTAAGGTCATGGTTCGAGTCGACTCTGACTTCTCCGAAATGGGAAGGAGGTGAGCGACCAACACCGTCTAAACTATTAATTCCATGCTAAAAGTGTTTTAAATAAAAGTTATCTTATTACTTAAACGAATTTTTAAATGGAATTTTTATAGTAAGGTTACGGTTCGAGTTGACTCTGACTTCTCTGAAAATGGGAAGAAGGTGAGCGACCAACACCGACTCTAAACTATTAATTTCATGCTAAATTGTTTTAGATAAAAATTATCTTATTAACTAAACGAATTTTAGTGGAATTTTTATAGTAAGGTTACGGTTCGAGTTGACTCTGACTTCTCTAAAATGGGAAGAAGGTGAGCGACCAATACCGATCTAAACTATTAATTCCATGCTAAAATTGTTTTAGATAAAAATTATCTTATTAACTAAACGAATTTTAGTGGAATTTTTATAGTAAGGTTACGGTTCGAGTTGACTCTGACTTCTATGAAAATGGGAAGAAGGTGAGCAACCAATACCGATCTAAACTATTAATTCCATGCTAAACTATTAATTCTATGCTAAACTATTAATTCCTTATCAAAAGTACTTTAGGAAAATCATATTTTACTTCAGCATGTTTTTAAAACTACCCAAACAATTTAATAATTTTTCAAACCAGAACTACGTAGCCTTGATATCCTTATTGCACCTAGGGATACGTAGGAGCAAGATGAACTCTTGTCAGGCACAACAATAAAAAATAAAACATTTCGCTTTAATTATTAAATTTTAATAAATAATTTTTAAGGGTATAAAAGTCCATGTTATTAGCGAGAGTACCGTTTTAATACGGGCGGACGGGGTGCTAATACCTTCCCCAATCCGTAATCGACTCCCGAGCTCAGAATCTCTGTTCAAAGACCAAGTTCTCCAAATTGGGCATATAGAGAGTTTTCAACGTTTTATCCGCAAAAAACGTAGTGGCGACTCCAAATCAATTGGAAGAGGTAGAAAGCGAGTTCGCCTCTCCCTAAGTCGCAGGGCCGGTCTTCCAACCGAAAATCGGGTCGCGACAGCTGGCGACTCCGCTGGGGACATTTTCCCATAAGAGAGTCAGGCCCAGAACCGCTAACTACATGGACTTAATACCCTTGTTGTTTTTTTCCGTTTGTTTGTTTCTATCTTTTCTGTCCCTATTGTTTAGGTTAAGAAATTATCATATGTATATTTCTTTAACTCATTATTCATGTATCTGTGTTGATTGTTGTTTTGCAGTTTTTGGGTAAGGGTTATTTGTTTACGAAAAGGTTTGTACGCTTCCTCACACACTAACACCATACACTGGATTTTTGCACACACATATGCCCTATACCCGGGTATTAGTGATAATTAGGATTTAAGGAAGGAGGGACATCTGCTTTATCGGTAAGTGGCCTCGAGCCACATCTGGTATTAGCGGAATGGACCACCCAGATCGTTCCCGGTATCATTAGCTAGCGGCTTGAGGGACTCGATCCTTCTCGTTTCTAGCACATGATATTTGGTTTCCTTTTCTTTCGAGATTGGATGCGATCTGGTGACCTAGAAGTCTAGAGCTTTATCGAGTCCACTTTAAACAAGCCTAGTACATCGCCATAAGTGTATGAACTATAGACATCCCAAAATCTCACATAGGGTATACCTAACATAAGACACTGGAAGCAAACCATCTTTACCTTTTTATTCCTGTCATAATATGGGACTCATCATCCTAAGTGGAAGATGAGTCTATCATCGAAGCCAAGAAAAGTATAAGGACACCCTTGCACATTGGGGCCCCCTAACTGCAAAATAGCTACCACTCATTACCGTCCCGCCATTGGGTCCAATGACCTAGGGACGATTTTCATACATGGCCGTCGATGGGCTCAAAGCCTTAGGGACATCATTCATATCATGATTATAACATCCCCGTTAATGGGCTTAACACCCTAGGGTGATTTCACATCGCATTTGACTTAGTCGTCATATTAAACTGAGTCTAAACTGCATTTTTGTATATCATAACGCATAAGTTTTCATGTTGTCCCATAATGGGTCACTACCCTAAGGGGCATGCATTATCCATGACATGCATTCATGCACCTATATTTCATTTCATTGATTGAAACACTTCTTCCAATTCTTTTCAGGTTCCTTCGTCAAAGAGAAATATTTGGTATAGTAAGACATGGAGATTGATTCCCAAGTTGTGGGTTCTGTCAGCGTTCCGAAGAAAGGGACAAGAGTGGAATTACAAGTGGTTGATGTGAGTTTTCTGGCCGAGTTAGTCCCCAAGATCCCTAAAGAGGTTAGTAAGGAATTGGCAAAAGAATATGGAAGATTGTCTGATCTCCTCGTCATCACAATTGGTGCGGAGGCCTTGAAAGCTATAAAGAGTATGATTCAGTTCTGGAACACCACCCTACATGTCTTTGAGTTCCCGAACGTAGATGCATCCCCGACGATAGAAGAATATGAAGTCCTTCTCGATATTGGTTTGTCAAGCAGACTTAAGTTATTTCAGTACACTGAGAATCAGGGCGTCACAGAGGATTCGATCGAGAAGTTAATTGGGGTTCGCCCTGGGCCAAACCACATAGTCAAGCAAGGAGCAGTTTATGGGTTAAAAACCATATTTCTAAAGAAACACCTGACCAAGATGATGGAGGAGGAGAATTGGGAACTATTTAAACCAGCATTTGCATTAGCAGTATATGGCATGGTCCTATTTCCTTTCGTATGTGATATGGTGGATTAGGCCGCAATTGACGTTTTCGCCAAATTTAAAAGATTCAGAGTTAACCCAGTGCCAGCGGTGTTAGCAGAGACTCTCGTCTCATTCCAGAGATGTCACGAAAATGGCTGCTACAAAGTCTGATGTTGCATACAGTTGCTCTATCTGTGGATGATCACTCGCTTCATACATCACCAGTACCCAGATTGGAGTCGGTACCCTTTGCGCAGATTCTGCACTATAGGAGTTAAACCTTTGCAGTTGTCAGACTGGGAGAAGCTTTTCAGGGAGGTAACCCCAAAAAACTTTGGTACGAAGTGTCGATTATACGACCAGCATCTCGAAATCATGTACTCTTGTGGAGACTATGAAAACTTAATGTTGATGGGTCCTCGGGGTTGCATTACTTTTACCCCAGCCCTTGTACTTGGTCAACTCAAGTGGGGAATGATGCCCATATCTCCAGAATTGCTACAGGGATCCATGATTTGGTATAAAGATGGCGAAGCCAGTAAGGAAGCCCTCGTCTCGATAAGAAATGCCTTGAGAAAAATTCGCCTCTATGGGAAGGAAGAGTTAGGAGAACACCAAGCTTACTATACCGACGAGTATAAAAAATGGAGGAACGATAGAATGAAATTGGCTGCATTACCAACTCCCACCCAACCTCCAGAACCACCTGGACCATCTGAGAATGAATTGTTGCAGGCTAGACAGATCCGTCTCCTAGATGCTAAACTAGAGGAGGCCAAGAATGAGATTGAGAAATACAAGCTGACTGTCGAGAAACAAGACAAGACTATAGAGGCTCAGAAGAAAGAAGAGACCCTCTTGAAGAGGGACTATGCTAGTATGTGTTCGACGTCCGAAAAGTATCATCTAATCCGGGTGGGGAAAGAGAAGGATGAAAAAATAGCTAAGCTGATCAGGATTAATGAGGAGAAAGATGAGCAAATATCTCACATGAGCCACCAATTGAAGGCTCGAGGTCGATCCCTGCATACGACACAACAAGATATTCATGTTTTAGAAGCAAAGGCAGAAAGTCTCCAAGTCCTTGTTCAGGACACCAAGGAGGAAGAGAGCCATGCATGGGCCACTATGAAAGAATATCAGACAGCCCTTGAGAAAGCACTCAAAAGAGAAGATCAGTTGAAAGCCATAGTGAAAGAAATGGAAAGGGCTCATCATCAGGCACGGGTCGATGCAAACAAAGATAAAGTTTATCTTTCAGAGCGGTTGAATCTCCTCGAAGCTACCTATGAAGAGTTAGTAGCCAAGCAACAAGAATGGTCGCACAATTGGGACAATATGCTCCAAGAGTGCAAATGGGACAAGGACAGGTGGGAAGACAGGTGCATAAAAATAATTGATGGTCTTGGGGACTTCGCAGATAATTGGTTGAGGACTTTCGAAGAGGCATGAGGGGAACTACAAATGCATCCAGAAACAGAACTACACCCAGCTATGAGAACGTTCTATGAAACATGTGAAGGGCTGGCTTGGAAGCTGAGGAAATGGAGAGCTGTCGCATCTAGAGATTTTTGATATATCATGTAAAAAAAAAAAAAAAAAAAAAGAAGAAGAAGAAGAAAAGAAATAAGAATTAATAAGCATGAGTATGACCTTGGTGTAATTCCTTATGAATATCAATAAAATTCTTTTTTTTTTCCGCTCGGT